TTAGCTAGTAGTATGCATCGTGTCGTCTATTTATACAAAGAAAGTTTTAAATTATCGATTTAAGAAGGATCACTTACTAATTAGAAAAGAATGTCATTTAAGAAGAAAATGGAAGTGAGGTATCAATTACTTTTAATTATCCACATCACTTTCTTTCCTTTAATACTCAGTACAGGTGAACTGATCAGTATTCACGTTTTCCTAATTATTATTGAATCTTTATTAGTTTATCATATAGACCAAAAGTTAAATAACGTTTCTGTCCATACTTATTTCCTTCACAACTTTATGTAAGTTTGAGTACATACATTATACATTCATTTGTACGACATTAACTCAGAATCAACGCCGCGAGTTAATCGATAGATGTCATCAACTATCTAAAATGTGCAATTATTTTGTATCAGTTAGAGTGATCCCCTTCAACCACTCTACTATAAAATATGATACTGAGAATTGGCTTGTTTATTTCGTTTTGATCACGTTTGCATACAAATAACAAATGAAATAAGATCTGAGCACTCATCACCTCACTAAAGATTTAATTCTGGACCCACCAGTTACGAGGCTAATTAGTTGATCATTCAGCAGTTAGGCTGGAATCTGATGAACCATGAATTCAACCTTCTATCGATTCGAGATATAGCTCTACTGCCAACTAATACCATTGATGAGCATCAGCTTTACCGTAACATGGTAGACTCCAAATGTCAAGAGTTCTCACTCTCGTATGTTTAATCAGTTGATATCCAGATTTTGAAATTTCACAAGGATTTTGACTGATTTGAGTGTAAATTTCTTCGTGAATATAAAGAGTTTGCGTTCACACCTCACTGATTCTCAATAGATTGGCCTCCTAACCTGATGATTCTGGGTTTGATAGCTTGTAGTGTCATGAGTGAGCATCGACGTAGCATCTCTCAATCGCTCTTTCATTTTCAACGATTCTCTAACTGACGTTGTTTCATGACGATACCTACACTGAAATTAGTGCACATCCTCAAAAAAAATACCCAAATTCTGTAAAAATATTTCAGTCTAAAAATGACTCACAACAGTCTGCAACAATACTTGTGTAATTCAAGATGATCGAAAATTGAAAAAATAACTTGGGTGACAGGAGAATATAAGCCAGTGGACACTGGGTAACTAACTAAAACAGCGCTTTACCTACAGAGCCATGAAACTCAAATACTAACTACGGCATGAATTCACTGCATGTATAGCCAGTTATTTTGTGAATGAATGATATTCAGTTAGCTGTTCACTTAGCATTCTCCCATCAATTGTCCAGCTGAGTCTAAGCAGGAAGGAGAGTTTCCCTTCACCGCATTATATTAATGTCAGTCCTCTAATTCAAAACTCTCTATCTCGGATAAGCCACTAAAATAACGGAATATTGCTATTTCTAAAAACTATTCAGTTACCAGAATAAATATACAACTTAGTGCTGAACAAATTACAGTTCACTTCATAGTGTTTATATGATGCTTGATCTCCCACCCTTCAATACATAAGTTGAAAGTAACATGAATGAAGTGAACTGAATTGCTGACTACTGCTTTCTTATTAAGTTTACTGTCTATCATGCATGCAGAGAATTATTCACCATTGTTATTATTATTGTTTTAAGAATTATCTATTACATGAATACAAAAATAAATAACAGTTGAGGATTATTCAAATGAAAAAAGAAGAACAAGAATGAAAATAGGTTTATACACTTAAATGTAATCTATGACATTTTTTAATCGACCATACGTACATAGTTCAGTTATCCAGCTGTGCACTGTAGTAAGTATACATGATCTTGCTACACCTATTATATAACTGACTGTATCTCTGGTGTGTTATATCAAGCCTATTTCAGTTATACTGATGCAATGGTGCACAGTACTACACCAAAAACGGTTAATCACAGCCAAACTTTAATATGCTAAATAATTGATTCATAACCTGTTTAATATTAAACCCAATATGATAGAGAAGATCTGTAACTCAGGTGGATGATTTTGATGTGGTTGCGTTCTCTGAACTGGATGGTTGATTTGCGAAGCTTTCATCAACCTACTAGGTCACATCTTCAGTGCATACTACAAATTGAAATATGCGCTGAAGATGTCACCTAGTAGGGTGATGAAAGCTTTGCAAATCAACCATCCAGCTCAGAGAACACAACCACATCAAAATTAAACCGAATTCTTCCCTCCTAACAAAAAGGACTAAAGCATTAATGCTACTCTCAACAATTGGACGATTGAATAGCTAATGAATAAAGTGAGAAGTGGTGTAGTATGCACAAAACATTTTATAATAAATCATACTGATTATTGAGTTAAATATTATGCGCAAAACCTCATTTTTTAGCAAGAGAAAAACAGTGTAAAATCTTGAATGTTATTTCGTCAAAAAGCTTTGGAAAAGTTAAAAGTAGTGAGTGGCATAATCAGTCTCTTCACACATATATTTGGGATGACTTCACATGGATTCATTTAACAACCTTCATAAGAAAAAATATATTTGATGTAAACTCCTTGTTAACAAAGATCCCAATCAATGAAACTATCGAGATCATTTGCATACAGTTGGATCTTCTCCCACTTCCAGTGTGGGAATTTGAAATCTCTACTACTAATGTGTACTATGAGTGTACAATTCCAGTTTGACAACACTCTTCACCACCAAATAGATGATGTAGCTATGGTTAGTCCACTCAGACTTATTTTAGCATATATTTTCATGTTCAACCTTGAGAAAACAAAGTTGAAGCATGCAACCTATGAAAGAATTTCTCATTGTTGATATGTCGATGATACATTCGTAGTGTGCAACAATCAAAGTCATGCTTCCTAGGTACTCAGATTATTCAACGACGCACATACGAATATTAAATTAACTATGCAACATAAAAATGGCACAGCCATGCAACGTCTGAAAGGTGGTAGTCTCCAGAGGTCAATTTATCGAAAGCCTACATGGAATGGACAATACCTGCATTTTAATCGTTTTTATCTCAATAGCTATAAATGAACACTAGTCAAGGCTCTGTACTATAGAGCTGGGAGAATATGCTATACAGAGGAATTATAGGAAAAATTTATGATTCTCGAAAATAGGTTGAAAAACAACGGTTACCCACAGAGATTCAATAACAAATGTGGCAAATGCGAAGCCTCAAACGTTGAATAAATCACAATGTAAAAATGTTCATCTTCATTCAAGTCTATTTTAAGGGTGAAGTAGTAGTCAACACAAGAATGAGGACGTCCCTAGCCATAGCCTATCCTGAAGCCAAGTTGGTTCCCGTCGGACAACATGCTACTTGGTGCAGTCAGATGTCGACGGATGCCCTTCTTATATTAACTCCAACTGCGTATACAAATTTACGTGTATCGGCATGATCAGTTACATTGGGAGAACAGAACATGTACCTAAAAGTCTATGTCTCAAGGGAACAAACGCTCACAATAGTGCCATTACCGGACATTTGCTTAATACGGGTTCCACTGAAGACTCTAAGGAGCATATATAAGTTAGAAAAGCATCTTAAAGATCTTTTTGACACGTATTTTACATATTTGCTTAATAAATGTTTACTGTATTTAAAATAATTAATTAAACTTATTTTAACTGTGAGATTATGCTAAATCTATAGTATTAAACCCGTAAGCCCTGTGATGCACAAACACACAATTCAAAAGCAGTAATATTTATGATAACAGTCAGTTTTAAACTGAAGCTTATGTTGCTTCATTTCATTGTTTACAAAATACTTGTGTTTGGTAACTGGAGGCAGTCGGCACCAATTCCTTGATCTGAGTATAGTGACGTCCCAACAAGGACTGTTCAGCCGTATGTATCTATGACCCTGCCGATCAAACTAAATGCCTAAATGTAATGGCACATCAATTTTAAGTTCTGCAAATTAAAGATATATGGTGTGGGGTTAATCAAGTTTGGTGTGAAGACGAATAGTCACTGATGGCACTAGCTGATGGTTGTTCTATATATCACAGACTAGCATAAGTTAGAATTCATCCGCCTCTAGAAACTGTCGCAGCAACTGAACAACCAACTGCCTCGTCTCATAATCTGAAGATCCTAGGCTCCTGCTCAGATCGGGTCATAAACGTGTTCTGTTGAAGGGTCCTAAAACTAGGAGGAAACACCTACCCAGTATATCCTGGGTTTTATGGTTCTCTAAGAGTGAAATCGTTTCGTGATCAAACCTGAAATAAATCCCTCTCGTAAGACAGTTTTGTATGGCTATAAAATTTTGAAACTGGAACAATCATCACTGAAGTATCTTTTATAGCTCAAAACTTGCCAATATGAAATAAACTCTGATTGATAGTGAGTTCGTTCCACTATGAATAATTCCCTTCACGGTTAATATAGCCTTAGTCATTTATTCACCCATACATGTTTCACCTAATCCAGACTGGAATAGTTTGAACGTAAATAAGAGGTTCAATGAATGAATGAAAACTGGATACCGCCTCAAAGCATTACAAATAATGAGATCTTACTAAGGACCAAACCAGTCTAAGTTCAGATTACCAGCTAAACCCGCTGACCATTCAGCCACTGGACTGGATGGAATCCAGTGACTCTTGAAATCTATCGTCCATCGATTCACGATATAGTGCCACCTTACTAACCGATAACATCAATCGTCAGATGATGGTAAATGTTTAACACACTTGACCACATTTTGACTTACCAATATTAATTCTCTTTCTTAACCAATTCAATTCAATGTCATATCGATTAGTTAATTAATTAAATATCTTTTATAAACAACAAAATAAACCAGAATACAGATATACATAGAAAAATTAAAGAGAACGCGTTATAAAGCAAGCGAATGAAATACCTAAATAACGATATTCATTATTCACAAAATTGTATTATCATGAGTATCTACTTAATGTTTAAATGAAGAGAATTGAACATAAGCATATGCGCACACACACTTCAAGATCACCCACAGCACATACCTGAATGTGTATTTGTCGATAAGGGCACCCGCATTATTCCAGTAGAATTTATCAATTTATTCGAGGTGTTGTGAATGCTTGTTCTTGATTCATTACTATTATCATAATCACTGAGAGTAGTATTAGTATTATTATTGATTGCAAAGGAAGCTGATAAGGATGATGGTGATTGCAAAGACAACGATGTTGATGATATTGTTGTAGGAACAGACAGTGAAGAAGGCGGCTTCAATCTATTCTTCATACCATTTTCATGATATCCATTACTGACTTGATTTGAATTGCCCTGTGATATTGACGTATACGATTGTATCAATGATTTAACCATAGAATTCGCTGACGGTGTAGTCGGTGTTACTGGTATTGTTGTAGTTATCGCTGTCAAAGGAGCCGGAGAAGGAGAACATGAAGATGCTTCACCTGATTTCGTTTCCGAACTGTCTATAAAATTAATTGAAGATGAAGATGAAGTTGTATTGGTTTCATGGTTTTTATTATACGATGGAATATGATTAAGTGTGGTTATAGAAGAATGCGGTGGGATACTGGGAGTCTCCAATTTTTCAATTTTCAAAGGTGAAGATGCTGATGTTGAGGAATTTAATCTAGAAAACATGAATGCAGATGATGAAGTGATCGGTAATGGAGTCAATGCGGAAGTCGATATTGTCGATGGTGTAATCGGTGTAACTGCAGGCGATGTTGTTGTCACTGTTATTGATGATGAAGAAGTTGGGGATCCAATGTGTTTAGAGTTTAGCTCTACTAAATCATCAAGCGTATCTGAAGAGTTCCGTGAATCAAGTGTACCAGTTGTTGAGGAGTTTGTCTGAAGACTAGGATCTTTCTGTTTATGACTGCGTGTTGGTAAAGGGAGGACATTAACAGCTCCTGGTAAACGTGAACCACGACGTGGTGGACGAGGTAAATTATCATAAAGATTTGATGCGTTCCCTGGTTCTGGACTGCTTTTAGGCTAAATAAAAAGAATATGCAATAAAATAACCAGCTTTCATTATGAATTAATATGAAGTGAATATTTGGCTTATGAGGTTTCAAACAATTTCAATAAATTACAAAAGGTTACACTGGGCTAGAAGATAAGTCATCATTAAGATACCTTACTGTCGGACTGTTCATGCAGTTACTTGCTCTCCAAGTAAAACATAGAGCTTCACTCTCTGAAGATTCAGTGAATGTGTTGTTACTTTTACAAGGTGGAGTCACTGATCTCACACCCAACCTTCTCCCTTCTTTTGGCTTACTATCAGCTAGTGAAGCCAGGAGAGGTTAAGTAGTACATCGACCGGGGATCGAGAACAGACCACGTCCATGGTTGGTGAGTACTCTGTTATTGAATCACTGGACCTCGTAGTGTAGCGGTTAGCATTCTGGACTCTGAATCTAGTGACCCGAATTTCAGTCTCAGATAGGCCTAAGCGCTTTTAAACACCGTAACGTAACACCACAACAAACCATATCCGCCCAAAAGAAAGAAAATTTCCATACATTGGATGTCAAGCAACATATCTATCCTATTTACGCAAATGCAACAGTATTGATGAGAGGAGCCAAAAAACTACCTCAGATCAGGCAGTTGGCCAATCATGTTTGAAAAGAACAACTTCAGGAATATTAATTAGTCGTCACTACCAAAAAAAACTAAGAATTATAAGCTAATAGGCTTAAATACAAGATATATTCTAAATTTTATCGTGAAAAATACTCACTGTTGACAAGCCTTAAAAGTTTCGAACTTGCAGTTGTATTCCTTCTCAAACTCCAAGTGTTTCACAGATAGTGATTTATTCAAGTTGTCATTATAAAATTAATCGGAGTCCATAAATAGACTAATAAATTCAGTAGTCGATTTATTCAATATGGTTATGGATTCTTATCTTGACAGTATCGTAAAAGCAAGACAGGCGATCGTTACTCTAAAGTCAATGTGGAGATTTACAGTACCCGTGGGTGCTGTAATCAAAGAAACAAGATTAACTTTTTTGAAACTACATAATTAATAGACAGACTGCAGACTTTCATCAATACCTGTCTTCGCTCGATTCTAAGAATTAAATGACCGGATAAGGGAAGCATCAAACTAACCGACAACCCATTCCTCAAAAAATATACCGAAGGAAGTTCAAATAGATTGGACATACTCTGAAAAGATAATCAAGTAACTTAACAGTCCATGCGAGTCCTCAAGTGGAGCTTAAATAAGAAGCAGCCAGTTGGTTTTGGGCCAGAGGATTACACGGAGAAGGTCGTTTGAGGACTATATGAAAGCTTGAGGGCAGTTGTGAAGCTAGCTAAAAATGATAGCAGAGAGTCGAGTGGAATTCAGATGTGCTACTGAAGAACTATTTTCCACTGGAAACTCAAGGAGTGAATGAACAGAGAAAAAACAGCTTGTCAGTTTGGTAAGGCTAAAACTTTGTGAGCAGTAATAGAAGGATTTCATTAATTGACTGTTTTATATATAGCATAAAATCCTATTGAACTAATGCTCACTTACCAACTTAATTACATGTGAATTGGACCCAGACAAACAAAATTAGATGAATGATTACCGTTTGGAAATCAGATATCTAAACAGCTTATGTTTGCCATATAAAATAAGCTTATCTAAACACCGAATAGTCGTTTGGCTTATACAGCGCATATTTCGTCAACGATGTACCCAGATCCGCTCATCTCAGACATCTGAATCATTCCAAACTACCATACGGTGTTTGAATCACCTTGATCGGAATAGCAACTACTACTAGTTGACGTATGTCAATTCTAAGTACTCACGTTACTCAGTACTACAAATTATTGGGCTTTAATACTATCTATCCTAAAATTATATATGTTGTTTAGCCGATAACCTATTCTAATTTAAATAATTTTCACTTTCAGAGGAAGCCAGTGTAAAGTTTCAACACTAACTCTGCTTTTTGCATGCAGCCACTTAGATTCAATATTCACTCTGTCCATTGTGTATGCCGGAGTACTTTTACAGGGTTAATAATATAAAAAATAAATAGGTGACAGAGAGTTACTTATCTCTTTTCGGCGAATTCATTTTCTTAGTTGTACAACTGCAAGTATATATGAGTTTGATGGGATTTTAGGACGAACGATGCATAGAAAAGCTACTTGGAATGGTCAACTAACAAGCTTCAGTAGCTGGGTACCCATTAAACAAGAGCAGAATTTAATTTTTTCATCCGAAATGAATACCCACCAAGATTCATTGACAAAAATATCAAATCAAGAATTTGGAGAAATGAAACTTCGCTTGCGCCTGAAAAGAAACTCTACATGAACTTGGATTTCAAGGGGGATTTAACAAGCGATGTTCTCAAGAGAAGAATCACCTCATCTCTGAGAAGAACATTTTTTGCAGCAACGCTAAGAATAGTTTTCTCCAGTTCCCTACTGATCTGTAGAAGCCTTGAGGACAAGATCCTGCATCTAACCAATCCTGTGTGCATATATCAGTTCACCTGCTGCTGTGGAGCCAGGTACTTCGGTCGTTTGATGCACATCCTGTCCAAGAGGATTCCAGAACACTATCCACTCTGGTTGAGAAAGGGCAAAAGTGGTGCTATAAGGAGTTCGATAAATGAACGCGTCCTTCAAAGTAATCTACAAAGTCAAGAATAACCTATCAAAGGCAATACAGTTTCGTCTTCTTTGTATCTCTGAAGCTGTTGCCATTCACATAGAAAAACCGCAGCTTTGTATACAAAAGAGGATTACTCAACCACTTCTGTTATCATGGTAACAAATCTGTTGATTTTTGATCATTTAATTTTGTTTGTTTGCCTGTTTCTCTGATTGCTTATAATTCCTGTATTTAGAACTCTTACGTAATTTAGAATCCTCTACTTTGCTCCTTTGTGTGTCCTGAGTACAACTCAGTCATCAAACTATTCGTATTGTTACGTAATTCCCTTTTAACAACTGTTTGTGACAACTCATCACCTTTGTTACCACACTAGTTTCATGAAAACCTAATTTTCTATTACGTAACTCTACCCAAAACTTACTAATTTTCAACTGTTTAGTTAAAATAACCACAACCAATTGTATTTTGTTTGTCAAACTTAATGTACACATGCATACAAAATAACTCATATATATTTGAGATTGTACAGCTGTGAAAATGAATTCACCGAAAAGAGACACTTCGCTGAACTACCTGTTTTGTTTTCATTGATGCCTGGATGGGGATTATTCATGAATTACTTATCTATTATACATTAATATTGTGATAATTTCAAGTTAAATCACGAACTAGCAGGGAGTACATGAGAGCTGTTTCGTCGTAGACTGCAAATCTCCAATAGTATGTAACCATGACTCTATCGGGACTCAAACTCAAAACCTTTAATTTCCAGTCTAGTTATTCTTGATCAATCACAATAGACAAGAAGTGCGAGCAAATTAAAGGGAAATATGTTTTCCGTAAGTATTGATACTTAGTTGCCTCAGAAATCCTATTCAAATCCATGCACTATTTATTTTAGTTATTCTAATATCTCATTAACTAGTTACAATAGACGTCAACTTCCCTTGATTCAAAAGTGATTCATTACAATTCAAGACTCTCCGTGCTATGTACTACTATTCAAAACAGAGACAACTTAGTGGATTCAAAAACTACCAATATTTCTCTTCAGTCGAGTTTGTCATTTATATTAAGTTTGTTACAAGTACAACTGACGAACTAAGATACTATGCACTAAATAACCTATTGATGTCATTAATCTCAACACCGACCTTGACGTGTATTTGATTTCTCAAGATAACAGATAAGTCTTGGTGTTCTTTTATTCCTTGGCGTCCTGATTAGAACGTAGGACTTCAACCTCCTTTACTGGATGGGGTTGCTAGTCTTACGCCGAACCATCCCTCTTTACTGGGATTACTACCTCCTAGGCAAGGTTTAGGAGTTCGTCAGCCGGTAATCGAACGCCAGAGCAGGTGCGTGGTTGGCGAGCATCCTATCGTTGAATCGTCGACGTTGTGTTCGGATCTAATGCTCCTTACTGACTACTGCCAGCCACCTGTCATCGACTGAAATACACCACAGTGATGAATTCTGTTCTTTTTTCAGCTTAGTGATCACATCACAAATTTAATTGGTTGAACTCAATCAGGACTTAAGTCTAGACTGTATACAATTAGTTGATTTCCAATGACATAACACCACCATAATCCAAATGACTGATTGGAGGGTAAACTTTTTTAAGCATTTCAAAGGTATTCATAGTTCTCAGTATATATATGAAGCACTGTAGCTTTTGTGAAAGTGAGAATGCTGGTTGTTACATTTTCTATCACAAATACACACAGACACAAGACATGCGTCAGTTAAAAGTCGTAAACAAACTTATAGCTATGTGAATGCACACAATATGCAGAGGAATATTTTACCATACGCGCGCGCACATAGAATGTTGACGTAATTCGATTCCACAAAGACAACTAACTGATCACTGCAATAATCAGTTATGATGAATCACAATAAATCAAAATATGTATGCTGGAAGGAGGGATTGAATAACGCACGCATGTACACACCCATACATACATTCATGCACCTAATTTGTGCACATATATACCACAAGATGGGTAATAAACAGGTCATATTTTTGCACATACAAAAATATTGTTTTACACATTAGAATATGTTGTATCGAAAAAGTCTAACTTATGAAATCGACAGTGTTGGAATAAGATTATTTTGTGTTTAGAGAAATGAGATGGTAAATGTTGAACACAGACCTACACATAGTTGTTATAAATAAACATTCATATGCAAATGTATTAGGAAAGCAGACTGCAAAAGAAAATTGTCTATTGAAAACCTTCTGCAATAGTAAGAAAAACAACTCTAAAGCATGCAAGCCGGGAATGAATTATTCCTGTTCAGCTTTAGACTAAAACTCAAACTGATAATAAACTGTACAAACAAACAACACACAGTAGACGTAGCAGAATAAATTAGTCTGAAGGTTGGGCTGGTGAACTGACATATACACTTTAACTACTGATGAGAGACAAGAAAAATTAAAAAACCTCCTTATTATGACGTAAACTCATTAGAGTGTAAAAAGACGTATATGATAGAGACTATTGATTTTCAGTAACAAAATTATTCTTTAGCATACTTTCCCAAAGTAGTTGGGATTATTTATTGAAAATTTTGAGTTACTCTTATTAAGAGTCAGTATTGTAACAAAGACCGAGTATTTCGACCTGGAGGAATGGAATCAACAGGGAATTAGAAAGGCAGTTCCATTAAAGGACAACTGATACCGGTTGGAGAAGAAGAAGTGATTCTCAAAACTCATTAGCCAAGTCAATAAAGCTTTAAAGTTCAAAACAATGGACGCTGGATTCGAGTCTCAGTAAGGAAATCATCACTCACTGAGATGCATGTATATCATATCGAGTAGTCCTAAATGAAACAACAATCAGTTAGGATTACAATGAACATTTGGAAATGTTACAGTCAGTTCAGCACAGTTACAGTTTTGTGGAAATTAACCAACGACAGAGTTATCAGGCAAGCAAGTACAGTCTAAGGAGAGAGTGAAAAATATAAAAGGTTTGATGAGTGCGTGAAAACAGTTAAATGTAGTTACTTTTTAAGGTTATAAAACTAATAGCAGACAAATTCAGGGGTATATAACAGTTTTCTGACAAAGACGCCTAGGAAATTGTTCCTTAAAGTTGCAATCCAGCTGTGATTCATTGAAAAGATTTCTGCAATCTGTATGAATGGAAATCGTTTCTTTTAGTGTTGCATTTCTACAGTGCAAATTGATTGAAAGACACCTTACTCTAGAATAAATAAACCAGGGAAAATAATATGCTAGTTTGTCTTTTAATACATCCAACCAAAGTCTAACACACTTCACATTTCATATTCCATCTATTAATAGGAAAAAATGAGTCTAACGATGAAAAAGGAATTGATCTGGTGAGCCATGGAAAAAAAGTTCACTGTTTCGATCTAGAGACTTCACCACCACTAAAAGTTCATTACACCATATTAGAGAACGCTATCAAAAGCTTGATAATTCAAAGATAGGTATGTTAACATAACACGTTAATACAACTTACTGGTTTACAAGGTGTTGCCTTGAATACTTCAGCATTAGAAGGTAATGCATTTGGATCAGTATCATCCGATGGTTCTGGAGTGGCTTTAGGAGGAATACACTCAGTACTGCTGCCGCTACCACCACCACTACAACCATTCACATTATTCGAACTTGATCGATGGGCTGAAGATTCTCCAGGTACTTTTGCTCGTTTTGATCTAGCACGTGGTAATGTTCCATGAATACTGTCCATATGATCATTACCTAAGTGGTTTTCAGTTGTATGAGAGAATGATGTGCCTTTAATATGATTACCACTGTTTATATCTCCATTGTTAGCATTATTGTTATTGTTGACATTCAACTCTAAATTGCTAGAAGTCATTTGACTACGCTTTGTACGTTGTTTAGCTTCCAATGCTAATTGACGTATTTGTGTAACTAATGCATCGACTGGTTGACCATTCGGTGGACTACATCGAAAAAAGAATTTCCCATCCCCAGTAGAACATCGTCGGCCAGCATCAACACGTAGAACACCATTCGCTGCACCAAATCTATAGATAAATAGTGTAATATTTTTTAAATGGATAATTCATTTGTAAAGAGAATCGGGATACAAAAGATATAGAAAAGTCATTCATATTAAAAGTGAAGTCTCTTCAGCTCTTGAATGGTAAACTACATATAAACGATTATGTATAGTGGTTGAAAGAATGTGAACAACACACAGTAAAAGCCAAGGCGACAGTAGTTCTGTATATTTAAAACCAACAGCTAGAGAATACATGCATTTGCAGAGTCAACTTGTTCAACTGTCACAAAGTTTCATTCACGCTCTTTAGCTCTAATTAACCAGTAGCTGACGAAATCTCAGTACAACTACAAAATCCCTGTTGTATTATCCAAAAGGTGTGTAAACTGCACAGAAATTCACCTTGTTACACTTTGCAACTGAGACGGGATCAAAGAAAGCAAAACAATATGCCAAGGTAACTGTCTTTCACCACAGTTATCTTCATTCAGCCGCTTGTGTTAGGCGAAAGAACAGAATAAGAAATATTAAGATCAGGTGCTTAGGGATTAAGCACCCAACTTTAAGTCAGCGCGTTTGAGATTCGAGTTTTACTTCGGTTGACTTCAACCTGAATAACTGAGTAGTATTACTAGTCCTCAAAAATGAGTTCCACTTATATGAGTTACAGAATGTTAGGCAGTGAAGGTATTGACTATTCATCGATCAAGGTGAGTAACATATCCGTTGCAAATTCTACTCAGAAAACCGAAGTCAATGGAGGTGCGCAGCTGAAGCCCTATGTTCCTCTAGGAACTAAAGGATACAATAATAATTTGCTTTTACAGGCTGTATTAGATGAATATTTTAAGGATGATTAGATCAAAACACGACTCTAATCTATATTGTATCCAACTTTCTATGAAGATCACTTACAGAAGGGTAGATCGCCTGGCAAAAGTAGTGATTGAAGAACCCTTTACAAGTTAACAAATCTTCATTAATTTCCTCTCTTTCTCCCTTAAATTCCTACATTCACATCTACTGTGTGCTTTTTCAGAGTATCGCAACTTTAAACCGATACATTTAGGTGTATATACAGTTCTACACTGTTCTGTTAATTATACGGATAAAAGTTTATGTAAAATGAATAAATCATTCGGTAATATCTAGATTATGGAATTAGTTAGGGGAAAATAGGTTTTCAGTCTACAACACTGGACAGTAGAAATACGAGACTGAGAAAAAAAAACATTTTTATACCACTTCTTTATTTTAATTATAAATCATTTAGAAAATATCAAATTTTGTTTTCGTCTGTTTTCTGGCGTCTATAATACAAAACTTCGATAACATACTTTCCACTTATTTGTGTGTAACACATTTTTGAAGGAAGTCTAACAGGCTGTATCGTTGAGAATTCAACATGGTGTAAGATTGTTATTGAACGAAACATTTTAATTACCTCTTAAGTATATAAGTTAAAATATCCACAAAATCTACTCAACCATTAGTTTCTGTGACAAAAGCATTCATTCGTGTATCTTTGACAGTATAAGATAATCAGGGAAAGTGAGTCGGAGGTTCACTGGTTGAATGTTAGTCAACCAAACATGTGGTTACGGTTAGATTCCTGACTGACACACTTCTAAACCACACCTAGCAGACAATAAGCCGGGAAAAGAGGCCAAGTTAGGCCTAAGGCTACTAATCTCACTCCATAGAAGGACCAGTACTACAGTAAAAGCTTAAAGTCTTATGTTCCATTTAGAACTCAAATAATGAAAAAGGAGAACAATAAAACACGCAAAATTATTCCAATAATCAAGTGAAACGTGAGTGGATTAAAACGTTGGCGCATTTCGACTAAAGAAATTAAAAAATAGGTTAACTTGATTAAGCCCTATACAGGGATAATTTTTAGTATAGCCGACAAATAATCAGCGTGATATTTCTGAATTTATCTGACTAAGACACTTAACCAATTACAAGGAGTAATCTCATTTGATTAATTTACCTTTAATAGGAAATTATTACTTAAGATCGCTAAACAAATAAATTCATAAAGGTAAAAAAAGTGTAAACAAGTGTTTACTTGGGAAAAAACAATGTAGCCTATGAAATGTAAAGATGAATGTCTCATTAAACATTAAAAAGACGCCAAATGATACATTCTAATAAAAGGGTGGACAATTTTGAAGTTTTGGTTTATAAGCATTTGATTAATTGGAAAGTATACTCCGTTTTTAATCGATGTAGTTAGAGAAACATGAAAAATTGAAGACTACTGAACGGTTGTGTCATTCCACTTGTAATCACATACGACAGCATCAATGATGGAAAAGAGAACCCTCAGGTTACGAGGTTAGCATTCAGCCAGTGGGTTGTAATCCAGTAGCTTATGAGTCATAACTTCTGATTATTGACAATATATGTGGTCACCATCATCCAATGTCACCAAAGAGTATCTGTCACCACACCAAACTTGGTGGAGCCCACTGGCAACCACTTCACATTATAACTTCAGGAAGATCAGTCAGTTACTAGTGAGAAGTGATGAGCAGTGCTGATATAGCTCACTAGTTTGAACACTCGGCCTTCAGCTAATCAGTCCCAGCTACAAATCCTGCACCGCCTACGTCATCACTGGGCAACTGGGTAGTATCACCAACCCTTATACAGTAAGTATGACTGATGGAACATAAATGATTTGTTTCACGAAAGTGAGTCCTAACAACTAACTAGGTATCTGAATAACTTTCAAATAGTGACCAGTCGAGATTTGATTGACTTCAGTTAGAGAAAACCAAGCAGTACTGGTCATCTATTTCAAACTAATTTTCAACTACACTACAACATTTCTCACTCATGAATAATATCATTTTACCTAAAGTCTACATGCATAAATTCATGTCAACTAGATGAAGAAAAGATCGAAAAGGAAATCCTAGTCGAAGATGGTTTCACAGTTATAGAAAAATATTTTTAATTAATCCACTGGATAATGTTAAACATACTTAGCGCTAAAACATGTATGGCAAAGAATGAAACAATCTTCAAAGCAAACCATTAAAGCCAGAATAAGAATATCTTTCTGTTTTCTAAAATGATGCAATATAACTAGAAGGCGAAATAAAATCACACCTCCACTTCCCTATTATAACAATAATAAAAAAGATTTATTTAAGACAACATGTGAATACATGATACATAACTTTTCACTGTATTCAGTTCCAAAATACTTTTTTCTTCATACGGGATTTTCATGCAAAGTGATAATCTCGAGTATGCCTTCATTTCGTTGAGGAATTACACAGTGTTTACTTCGAAGCAAGTTAAATCAGCGCGTAAGTTCATGTGAAGGTCATTTACTGACATGTTATCGACGCGGTCAAGTCATTCACTATTGTCAGCAGACAGAGAAACAAGAAGATGCTTGTAATTGCAGAGGCTTGTGCAATTCGAGTTTATAAACCAGGTCTATGTGTACAAAAAGACATGGTCGTGACTCTGAATCTACTATGGTAATACGTTTTACTTATTATTCTACCACTTATTATCATTATAATTATTCTTGATTCATTTAAAACTATCCTTTATCAGTAGGATTATCTTAACTCACTTCAACACTATTATTATTATAACCATTACTATTGATATTACTCTGTTTGCAGTTCTTGTTATATTCTCTAATTGTATGGAGGATTTCACCATGAGTTGCCATCAGTTAGAGAATCACTGGAAAAACTAGGAGTACTGGACATCTGTTTCGTCCTAGTACTGGAAAACATTCGCACCTGTCTTTCTGCATGACTAACTGAATGTAGTTTGTTTACTTATCAATCTTATATCTCCCGATGTAATTTCAAAAGTATATATATCCGTGTATGTAGAGTATTCAGCTGACGAGTTCTACCGAAATTTGATGAATTCATTAAATCCTGCTTTAACCTTTATTGCTTGTTTCATTTGATATAAATGAACGATTAAAACAATAATAATAAATCCATATGAAATTACACATTTTGGTGGATAGCGATTCAAGGAGGCCGCTTATTCTATTATGTAGATGTAAAGATAACCATAAATTTGCTTAGCATTATTAGCTGACTCTTACTTTTATTGTGCGTCAGTGGCACAGAGGTTAGGAAGCCCGCCGACCATCTAAATGGTCCAGGGTTCGATCCCCAGCCGACGCATTCCTTTACCTCGCTAAGCTTGAACAAATGCTGGTAAAGAGGAAAGGTTGGACATGAGGCTAGCAATCCCATCCTGCTACAGAAACTTCAAGCCACTAGCATGAAGCCCAATGTTCCACTGGGAACGTGAAGGAAAAATGTAAAATGTTTACATCTTCAATGCTTAACACTGTATGTTACTTATGTTTATTGGTAGTTGAATGGTAGAGTGCATGTAGTTCAAGTTTATTCGTCTATCAATGAATCTTTAATCTCACCTGGTTTACCAGCCAATGATTAACCCAGCAAAGAAAGAAGGATGATCGTGAGGCCAATAAACCCGCCCTTTAAAATTAACATCACCATTACTGGAACTTTTAAAAAACTTGAATCCCTTATGTTTCATTCATAATGCAAAGGAATAAAGGAAATCTATTACTTGTACTACTACTACAACTACTACAGTCCTGCCTTTTTATTATCTCACTATATCTAGATAACCTAATAATAGTAGGCATCAACTGCCTTATGTATAATATAAATACACTTAACACATTTTATTATCTTTGTAGCGAGACTGTAAAAATGTATTCTAGTTGTGTATGTGTATTTGTGTAAATTTCGCATGTATGTACGTGCATGAATATGAAGTCGAACTAAGTAAATTTTTTGTGCAGTGAAATATGTTTGTTTTTTTTGTTCACATTAACCCAACGAAAAACAATTTTATTGATACCTAGATGTGACGAATATTTCTTCTCACACAGACACGCATATACATACGCGTACTTTCAGTAATAATAATTAACTATTCAAGCATAGAATCAAAAAGATCTTTACAGGGATCTATTAATGTTATTTGATA